ATTAACCAAAATTGAATTTGTTTGGCTTGTGTATGCCAGCTGGACTTTAAATATTTCAACAGACCAGTTTGAGGTTTTGGCAAACACAACCAGAATGAAGAATTTGAAGCCAACTCTCTGCTGTCTTTCATTTAAAACTACCAGACTGAGTATTTTCTCCCTCTCATGCAAACTTAATCTTTTATATTGCAATATAAGTTTGACTTAACAGTCAGTCTTTCATCTCCTCCAGTCTCTCTCTCTCTCTCTCTCTCTCTCTCTCTCTCTCTCTCTCTCTCTCTTGAGCGTGAAATAGTCCTACTGTTGCTCTGGACCTTTAGCAGAGCTGAGAGCTAAAGGTCAGCAGACTCCCTGTGGAAACAATAAAGACTAAAAGACCATCAGTTTGTTGAGGTGGTACTCGACCTGAGGGAGCAATGAGAGGAAAGTGTTTACATCTTACTGTGTCTCTGTTACGCACATGGGTAAACTCGTATATGATGGGGAAACAAAAGAAAAGGTCAGAAGGTGAAAGTACAGACTGAGTGTAAATCATGTGGACTGAGCTCCTGTGATCAGCAGCACATTAGGGCCCGCCTGACATTTCTTTCCGGGCAGAGCTGTGAGTTTGAGAGCGCTTGCTTCATCACGACTACCACAAAATAATTTTTTCTGTGTCTCGCAACAGCTTCTAGCTCTCCTTATAAGAGGAGCACTTATGTTTCATAGCCTTCACGTGGCACATGGATACAGTGATGCCTTTTTGCATGATGTTAAAATTTACCAGATTATGGAGGGTCTGCCTAAAAACTCTGTCTGTGTAAAAACTCAAGTGCATTAGTGACATTGGCTCAAAAAACCCCACTGCTACAAACATTAGGGCTCTGTGCAGGAGTGAGGGACATTTATGATTTGATTTTCTTTTTGGTTATGGGTACAGGGATTTTTTTAAACCTTGAAAAAAACAAATTATGCAAACTTGCTTCTGATGCATTTGCAGCAAGGTTAAAATTAGCCGAGTGCTTTGCAGCTGAAAAATCTTTAGAAGGACACTCAAGTGCAAACAGAGGTGAAGCTTTTAGGGATTCTGTCTTTCTTACGCCTTGTAAATAAATAGCTAATTATGACAATTCTGCCTTAAAAAATCTCACATGGCACTTTAATAGAGACAGAGACATGCTTTGGTTTAACTTAAAGCCGTGTGTGTGTGTTCTCCTGACAGTTTGTCGCAGCCAGTGACGAGCAGCAGTCAGAGAGCTGTCCTCGATCTGTAACCACATTAAACCCTCGTCAGGAAGGATTTACTCCGCCTAATTTAATTGACTCGATGTGTGGGCTGACTGCTCCACTAACTTCACTCTATCTCTTTGCCTGTCTCCTCTTTTTGTCTCCATTTACATTCTGTTTACCTTACCTTCTCTCTTTTATTGTCACTTTCTCTTTACCTTTTCACTTAGAGGCGCTTCAAGGGCGTGAATTGCAGACAACTTCATGCCTAAAGGCAGCACAACAAATTGAACAGGATTCAAGCCCACAAAAACACAAAGACAGCACTTCATAATGACACAAAATTAAGTGTCCGTGTCAAAACAATTATTGAAAATGATTTATACATCGCTGTCAATGCATATAATTTACATTTCTGCCAACCCTTTTCCAGAAAGATATCCAAGATTTCCAATTTTGTTTCCTGAAATCTAATGAAGACCTATGAAACACATTGGCAAAGCTGTACAAAATGTATAGTTACAGCATTTGTTAGAAGAATGACAGATGACCAAGCTGCTGAAAACAGATCACTTATTTATTTAAACAATAATCTACTTCACAGTTCAGACTGATTTGTATTTCTTGAGGGTTAAGACTCTTAAAGATGTTTGTATAACAACAAGGCAGACTTGTCATTTTGTCAGCACATCTTTTGGAACCACAGCACCATTTCTCTGTGTGCTTTTGTCCAAAGTCCTGCCCTGCATGATTTGTGTTTCTCTGAGGATGTTTCTCTTCCACGTTTTCACCGCCTCAGTGCTCTGCAGAAATTACACTCTGTGGAGATGAATAGACCCTGACAGAGATGAGTCCAAAACACACTGCCAAAGCAAAGTGAAGCTCAACCACAGAACGCTCACATTCTGCACAACAACAGCAAGAGATTATTCCCTACCAGTCAAATAAATTTTGTTTTATGTATAATTGTACTTTCACTGACTTTAGCACTCTTTAAATATATTCATTGAATTGAATCTGGACATTTTGTTTGCGTATGAATCCCAATGTGAGCGTAGATATCTTAAAACATTGCTGGTGTGTCTGAGTGGATGTGTTTGTATATCTGCAGGGTCTTTGTGTTGTACTCTGCACTGAGCTCTTTGATTTGTTTGTGAGTCACATAGTGACCAACACCGTTTTTATTCCTCAGTTTGTCACCTGCTGGCCTAAAGATTACAGCTTCACATTCTCTGTCAATAAAAACCCCTCAGAAAAAATAGGAACAAGACCAGCTAACAGCTAAAAACACTTCACAGAGCTGCTGGGAAAGTGTTTGCTGCTGCTGTAGATGCTGAGCAAACAATGAGACTGTGGGACCAAAGTGATGACCTGACTTAGATCAGTGATATTTAAAGTTTTTAGGTAAGCCTGCATTCACACAAGTACAGTATGTACGTGTAAATGCTTAATTCACAACAGGTATTTCTAAGTAAATCGTTTATGTATCAAACGAAACCCGTAGTCCAGGTTAAAAATGTTTTATTCAGACTTTAAATTGTCAAAAAAGGCCTTCAGATAAGCTAAGCTAAAATAAGGGAATTCAATTGTCCCTGGTTGCTCCAATATTAGAAAACAAAAAAGAGTAACTCAAAAAAGTATCAAATAAAGGTGAAGTAAATGCAACAGAAGTATTATAAAGTATTAAGTGTGTAGAGGTTAAATTCAAAGAAATCATCAGAATGTTTTAGTATAACTACAGTTATTTCTACAGTGTGATATCAAGACTTTAACCAAAGTAAAACACGCACATAACTGTCTGAAGTCTTTGTCTGCTCTTCTCTGGAGCTCATGTCGATGTACTTTTCCTTCAGACCTGTAAATCTCATCAGAGTTCCTCAGGATTAATAGTCGCACACAGACAGAGATGAGCTGAGGCGTAGCAATGAGTGTGGAAGTTATGTTTTGATAAAAGACATATTCATGGTTTCTTTTCAGCTATTTGAAGCCCTCTGGACAAGGCTTACCATTGTTTCTTGGACACCAATGTATCAGTGGTGAGAGATTGAAAATGAAGGATTAACTAACTATAATACGTCACTGAACTAGCAACAAAAAGGCTCATTTATTTATATCATCTGAATATATTAGGGGGAGCAGCAGCTCAGTCTGTAGGGACTTGGGTTGGGAACCAGAGGGGGGAAGGTTCAAGTCCCTGCGTGGAATATAATATAAGTTGGTCAGGTAGCTGGAGAGGTGCCAGGGAGTGTTGACTAAGGTACCCTTGAGAAACATTTCTCTCAGCCATGATGTGCCAGACCAGAATTTCCCTCAGGTATTAATAAAGTATGTAAAAAAAATATATATATCTTAAGCTACACTTTGTTTTCTGATTCTCTCCACATGAATTATTTTTTCAATTCTTTAAAAAAAAACACATTGGGCCAAACAAATGACCAAAAGAATAGCTAATTACTCACCAAATCCTTAAGTTAACGCCATAGTCGGAGGAAATACACGGACAAGAGAAGTGTACAACTGATCATTACTTAACAACTGTTTAGAGGAATTAATGACTTAATGGAAGAACTGCTTTTGGAGAAAGAAGTCACAGCTTGGCCCTTTCCGAATTGTCACAGTTCAGTATGCAGTACTTTTCAGTATGGAGTTTCAGTATACTGAACTTTCGTGGTCATTCAGTATGCATTTTTGGGTCCGCCTCAGTATACTGAACATTTCAGTATGGATACTAACTTCCGGGTTTCATGCAGTATGGATCGGATGCGTGCTTTCAGGAAATGAGTTGTGTTTTACCACCCACAATGCTGTGCGAAATTAAACGTAAATCGTCACTTCACGTCCGCCTCCAAATCAAAACAAACGAGCGTGGATTAATTGAATCAATTTTTAATCTAGAGTTAAAGTCCTGACTGAAATCCCTACTTTAAATTAACAACAGAAGATATAACAAATGTCTGCATTATTATAAAACCTTTTCCCCCTCTATTTAAATAATGATTTCACTATTTAAAAGCATCTTTATTGGTTTATTTTATATTCTGTATATTACTGTCTTTCATTTGTTCTTTTCTTTATGTACTGTATGTTATTTAGTTATTTAATCTGCCTTTTACTTGATTTACATTGTGATATTGTTTTTTGTTTACCTGACTGTATATGCGCATTACTCTTCTTGTCCTTTAAAAAATACTGTTCACTAATGTAACATTAGACTGAATCTGTGCAACATAAACCGTGTGACATTCTTGAAAAGTGCTGAATTACAGTTTTAACTGAGATAATTTCTGGCAAAAAAAAGCCAAACAGTTGGTTGTCTCGTCAACAATGTTGCTGTTATTATGAATCTTTTAAATCTGGAAAAAGTTTAACGAATGCGGGGAGCTAAATAGGTTTTATCTTGTTTGCAGCAGATTCAGAAATAATCAGGATTCCCTAAGATGCGAAAGTGACTAACACAAAGTTTGACCGCGTCACCCTGATAAAGCTGTTTGTGTGTTTACTGAATGCTCCTTCCATTCATCAGTATTTCTGCTCAGACGAGAGCCTTTGAGTGCTTTTTCTTTACGAGGTTCTTTTCTCTCTCTCAGCTGCTGACTAAATCCTCCTGAGTGCCTAAAGTCGTCAATGTTTCACTCACAAAAGAGGAAAGTCAGAGAAAGAGAGCGAGCCTTGGATTAGCTCTGAGAGGAAACACGGATCCTTTGAGTGAAGCGAGCGCTTTAATGAGCGAGCTAACCGACACACACACACACACACGCTGCTGCTATCAAAGTCACAAAGACAGTCGACACCAGGATTATCAACATCGCTTTAATCTTTAATTAGCCTTTATCAGAACTGTCACATAGCAACAGAAAAAAGTCATACACATCTCAGCTGCCAAAAAGAGAAGCCTTTTATGTTCTTTTTAATACATGAAAATACCCATTTTGTTCTGTCAAAATAAATACTGAAGAGTTTTATAAAAGTTGTTCTCCCTGTCTCCTTTGGACAGTTTGTGTGAGTTTTTCCTCATTATTTACACATTCATGCCGTAAGCTGCAAACAGAAAAGAATAAATTAAAGAGATGAAGGCGATACAGAGCAGGAATGATGCGAACACAAAGGAGGGAGTTGCAAAAATGACAGGTGTATCCTGAACATTTCATTGTTAGCCTCTCTATCAGAAGACACAGAACCGTTCATTGAAAACCTCTGATTGGCTCAAATCCATTTCTTCTGCACAAAATAAGGGCATTTGACTCAGATATTCTGCAATGGACATTTATAAAGGCTTGAAGATGTTTTCATGTCCAAGGGAAATTCCAATTGTGCAACTAAAACAGGCAAAGAGGCTGTGCTGAGAACTTGAATACCAAATGTTACCTGTGAAGTCACATGAAGTACATAATCCAGCATTTGAACAAAGGTCACACGCACATGTGCAAAGATGAATGATGATTATTTTGTATTAACTCTTGCTTACTTGAGCTCCTGTTTCAGAAGTAATACTGAGCGGGGGCAGCTTCTTTTCAATTAGAACGAGTGTTGATGAAGAGATCATTTTGACCTATATTATATGGTTGGTAGGCCAACGACTTTTTAAGGCTTCAGATTCTGCTGAAGGTAAGGAGGACAGATAAAGGATCTTCAAGGAATTAAATTAAATAATTATCTACCATTTTCCTTTTTATCTATCAATGACACCATCACTCATCACCCTGTCAGAATACAACTGAATAAACTAGTGTTGGAGTCAAGACCACACCGACCGAGACCAAGACATACCCGAGACCAGAGTGCTCCAAGACCGAGACAAGACCAAGATATTTTGGGATCAAACCAAGTCAAGGGCGAGACCAAGACAAGACCAAGACCATAAATATCAATGAAAAATCATCATCTTGTGTGCAGGGGGCGTGCCACTCACTTAGACTGAAACACAGCGAAGGTTGGGGATACAACCAGCGGATAAAAATGTAATTATAATTGAATTGCACTTATTTCTTGTTTAGAAGTTTTCCTTCTGATCACAGAAGTGACGTCGAAAAATAGCCAATCAGTGGTCGTCTTGACCGGTCTTAATTTAAAATCTAGAATCCGCCCAGTCTGAGACCAAGACAAGACCGAGTACAGATGCTTTTGATTCTGAGGCGGGACCTAGACCTTCAAAAAGTGGCATTGAGACCAAGGCCGATTTCGAGTACCACAACACTTTAAGAAACTCAGGGTCTTGTTACCTTTTGACTTCTGTTTCAGCTGTTTCTGTGTTGTTTTCTTTTGGATTTTTAAAGGCTTGCTTGAATCATTTTTAAATGTCAACTTGTAATGTGTTTCTTTGTCCCTTTATCCTGATGTATTGTTGTCTTGTGTGAAGAACTTGCCTTGACAAAATTGCCTTGACATACTGGAGCATGTTGGTCTGTATATGTGGCAGTGTTGTTTTTTTTCTTTAGCTCAGACAGAAATCCAAATTCAACCTTGGTACTTTTAAACGTTGGTATCAGTTAATCACCTGCAGGATTTTTTTGCACAGCATCTCATTGATTTGCGGATTTGTTGCCGCCTGTGCTGCTTCATGAGCAAACAGGGCAAACTATGATTCAATCAAATTACACAATATCAGAACTATGATAATACGTTCTATATTTCAATCAAAGATGGTCCCACAGCTCTTTGTTTGCATGGCTTATCAAGTCAAATTTTAAGCTTTTTTTTAACATCTCATTCTTTATAAGGAACTTATTGAAACGTGGAAGAGCTAATCACCAAACATGCAACTGCTACAACGCTAGAAAAGAATGGCTGGTCCAGGTCTGGGATTGTGTACCTTATTGTGCTTATACCTGTGTGAAAGCTTTTATTACAATCCAAAGATTTCTACATGATAGTTATAAAAACACAGAAGACAAAGTGATTTTACATTTTCTCAAATTGTTTTCTTGCACAATCTTGGAATATTTTGATTCCAAATAGAGGATTTTGGAAGCTAACCAGGTGTCAGAGGAGATATTTTGTGAAGGTTTCTATTTCTCTAAGGAACAGTGGGAGATATATATCATCCATCTCTGTCAGTTGACCATTGACCACCTCTCTTCATTCACTTTGTTTTCAGGGCCAACACTGTGCATCGTATAACTGATGATCTCATGGAAACATCACGCTCACATACCACAACTGAACCGAGGAGTTTGAGGGCCGACAATCATAACTTGAGTCCATATTCCTTCATAGGTGGATGGATGCTCTGACTGTTTCTGAAGTTCAGGAAATAAAAATAAAGATTTCTAACAAAGATTTCTATTTCCACTTGGGGAAGTCTTCTCTTAGTTTCAATCTACCTAAATCTAGTTTCAAGAGTGACAGCACCCTTGGTTTCTGTCAGATGGATCCTAACTGGAGTGTTCCCAGATGGATTTATGTTTTTGTATCTCTTGATGATGTTTGGTATATCCCCAAAAATGGACTGCTTACTCTTTTCAGCTCATTCATTATCATATCAGAGGGCGAGCCTGAGTTCAATAAGTTTCAATAGTCACACAGATCTACACACACATGCGCAAACAAACATACACACTCATGCACAGACATCCTCACATAAGAACTGACATGCAGTGACATGACATCAAGCTTGCAGGGATGTCATGGAAACTGCAGCGGTGAAAGTGTGCAGCTTTTGAACAGGATGGACAAATTAAAAGGAAAACAGAAAAGCATGACAACAAACAAACACATTTTTGTTTGACGAGAAAATAAAGGGTTTAAAGATGATGAAAACGGGAATGTGACAGTTTGTAAAAAGGCTAAATCTGCGACCCTATGGAGCCAAAGACTTCTTTGTGGACGTGTTCATACATTGTTCTTCAATAATCGATTAAAATAGAAACAATTTTTAGCCTCTGTGATATCTTCTGAAAAAAACATTTCAGCGCATGTTTCCCAATCTCAGCTCAGATTTCTTTTAAATCAGATTCTTTACAACACCTCTTAATAAGTGGAGACATAAACAAAAGTTGACATGGCCAAATGAAGTTTGGAGAACATCTGTTGTTGGCAAATGGTCCAATCGGTAATGTCATATCACAGTATTTAATAAGGTCATCTAGATTGTGTTTGATACATATGAAAAAATATAACTAAATATATTATAACATAACTAAAATGAAGCTCAAACAAACGTCTGAGAGGAATCAAAAGTCACTTCACGCCCGCAAAAGGCTCTGAACCGCAATTCATGATGACATATAGTGTGGTTGGAAAGGAAAAGTATTGCTATATTGTGATTACTGTTGTGAAACAGCTGTTTTATAACTTAAACTACTTCATTAAGTAAAGAAAAAGATTGTGGTTTTAAATTAAGTCAGCATTGATTTTAAGTCTCCCAGGAGCTTGTTATCATGGATTAAAGTCCAGTGTTTGTGTGACCCATCGTCCTCCCCTGAGCTGCCTTCATGACCATCTGTCTTCAGCTCTGGTACCTCTGTTGGACCGTGTTTGGTACAGAATATCAACTCAGAATATTACTCATCAAGTGTCATAAACTCATGTCACCATCTCCAATGACACATTTTCAAACCTGATGGTAAAGATTTTGATTTGAGTGAAGTGGACTCATGTTCATGTTAAGGTTTCATCGATACCCTGACTGAACCCCCTGACCTTCCCCTCTTTCTCTCCTGGCTCAGCTGTAATGTTTGAGACTCCTAATCATGTATTTGGAGTAACATGAGAGATGGTGTCACTGATGAAGTTTCAGCCTGGATTAGATTTTTCCTCTGAACTGTGACACCTCAAACTGGGTCAATGGGTTCGGCTCGGCAGGGATTTGTAATTACCTCGCCTGTACAGATCTTTTTTTTGGCTTTTTCTTTGTGCCTGTGAATCGGTGCTTAACAGTGTCCTCATCTGATTGTCTGATTTTAGAGAGCTTTGTTTGTTCATATGCAAATATTTTTAGAGTTTCTCTGTGACTGCTTTAGCTCTAGAGGAAATGGTTTCTTACTGTTTGTCTACATTTCTTTTCTGTCCTTGGAAAACTACAGTATGTTTCCAAAATGTCAAATTAAATTTACTTTCGAAAAAAATGTCTCCCTTTAAAGTAAATAATATTGCAAAAGTGGCTCCCAACTTTATCCATGGAAATTTAACCATTTGGGAGAAGCAGGGTTGTCACCAGGCAGCTAAGATTGTGTTTGTGAATAATACAACGTTTGAAAGTTATCCTTTGTTGGGTTTAAACATGATGAAACTGTTATACAGGAAGAAGTAACAAGGTTTTATCTTGGAATAAATCTTTCAGTCAATTGTTTTTTCGAGTGCATGTTTTAATGGTTGCTCAGTTGGGTGCTGAGAGGTTCTTTAATAAGCAGACAGCCATTTCAGTATCGCACCAAAGTTTTCAATAAACTAGCTAAAGCTTAAAAGGTTAGCATGTTATTGTCATGTTAAGCCTCGCATGGGAGTTAACAGTTTACATTCCCATTTTGCATGTTTAAGTTATTAATTATACATTATGTAATGTCCGGTTAAACTTTCAGAATGAGGATCGCTGAGAAACATTTGAGGAGCCATTGTGGAATCAAAATGAATGTTAAAATGTGTAATGACAGCGGAGCTTCGTTTCAGCTCTGTGGCGCTGCGGAGTCGCACTTTGAAAAGGTCTACTGACATTATCTCTCTACTGAATCGGCTGGTCTATCAGACGCTTTTACAGGTAATACATTAGCAACGACTAGCGTACATACATATCCAGGAGACACAGAGCAACATCATCAATCAACTGAACTGTGGTTCTAATGACGGGATGAAAAGCTACTCTTTTGGTTTTAACATCCTTAGAGAAAATTATCAAGCTCCAGATTTTTCCAACCACTTCATCCAGCAAGCTAACATTTTAGTTTTTTAGTTTTTGTTGTTCTTGTGGGTAATGTTTTTATTCTCATATTTAATCTTATTAAGAATATTTCAATATGATTTTATTTCAATTAAAGTGTTTCTCTTGGTTGTTTGCCGCTTCAGTCAAAGTTAATTGTTTTTAATGCATCTTATGAATACATTTGAGTTGAGTTGACTTTTCAATCTACTGATTGGTGCTGGGCAGGTAGTGTAAAATAAATATAATAAATCCCAGGTAGCGTCTAATGAGAGGGCTATTAAGTAAAGTTTGTGAGCCAAAAGTACTGTTGAACAATGAGAAAGAAAACAGGACATCCACTATAACTGAGTCTTTAAAATGAAAGGATGCAGCGTAGGTAGAAGTTAATATAATAAGTCTTAGTGTTCTCCTTTCTTAAATATGAACAAATTAAAATATTAGTGGGTCATTCTTTATCCTGACCTGCAAGGTGAGCAGAAATGAGGGGAATACATGGAGTGTCAAGATGGAATCAGCACTGTATGGTTTGAAGGGAAAAGGTGGTTTCATTCATACAAAGATTAACGCACTCACACACGCACGCACGCACACACACACACACACACACACACACACACACACACACACGTATGAAAACACACTTACACAATGCACATACTGCTCCAACACCAGCACAATGTCTGAATCATTCTTTTGCAGTCTGTAAAAGTCCTCTGACTCCTGTTGAATGCACACAGAGTTCGAGCTAGCAGCCTCTCTATAATAATGCACTTGGACAGTTTAGGTCAAGGCTTTACCGCAGCCTTGCCACCATATTTTTCGTTTCAGCTTAGTGAGGATTTAGCAAAGCTGTAAAGCTTCAACCAGGGACACGTAGAGGTTCTTTAATTTTGTGTCCAAGGCTGAGAAAGGTGATATTAAAAGTGTGACGCTTCCAAAAATAAATTGTTCTCAACTCTGCCTCTTTTCCAGAAAATAACACATCAATTTGCCAACATATTCGACTTGCATTACAGAGGACAACTTTATAAAAACTATAATCATCTTTCTGATATTATACTAGAAAACAAGAGGGTGATTCATAATGATCAGGAATAGGTCCTATGTATGTAAAATAGCTTTGGCAACATAATTCACTTTATTGACTCCCAGTCATGATTCACAATCCCGGGCTGCAAAACTCTCCAACAAAGACCAACCAAGCCTTCTGGTGCTTAAGAGTAGCTGGATCTTCTAGAGTTGCATTTGAGCCCTGTTTCAGTTCCACCAGAACAGCTCAGTCTAAGAGAATCATCATGACATATAAAGCATCAGAGGAAGAGAACTGGTCTTTATTCCAGCCCACCATGTCCCTGCCACATTCAAAGGCCTGGATCTTTAAAGTCCCACTCAGGCTCTGGTTGATGGAGCCTGAGTGCTGAATTTGTAGCATCTGCGTTGGGTTTAAGCTCCGGCTGTATGCTTTCTTGTCGACTCTGTGGTGTTTGAGACGAGGTCTTTGTGGATTTGTGACTGAGGAGTCGTCGTTGGTCACAAGCAGGACTCGTGGGACTCTATGTCTGTGTGCAGTGACTTCTTCTGCTCCATGTGGCTCCCGTTGTGAAGGACAGAATACCTGAGAGAGAACAGAGGGAGGGGTGGGAGTAGAGAAATGAATGGTTTTAGTCATTTATCAATACAATTATAAATATTAGATTGCACCTGATTTAATGCTCTATACCTTAAATCATTTGTAATTGTGCACCTTATTTGACTGTTATTCTGTCGGAAAAAGTTATTTGATTAATTTAGCTTGTACTCTGGACAACAAGTGTGGGGAATTTTACATTATTCTATGATTTATGGGTATGAAACCATCCAAAACAAATGAGTGATCATTGCTGTCCAAATAAACCATTAATAAATGTGATGACATAAATGACAGGAAGACTTTACACCGTAGACGTGCTTGGTTTGTGATCCCACATGTAAAGCTCTGAGCATTTTGTGAAGGAGGAAAGTAATGGTATCTTGACAGGAGGAGAGGGGGAACCTTGTTGAGGGATGGGTGCTGTATTGTATTGTCTATTTTACTCTAACTTGGAACATTATTTACAAAAATGCAACATTATTTATTGAAGCTGTAATAAGTTATCGAGACAGTAAAACACTTCTTTAATGTTTTCTGAGATAAAATCAACAAGAGGATGGATGGATGGATGGATGAATAGATGGATGCATTGATGGGTGGATGAAAAGATGGATGGATTGATGGATGATTGGATGGATGGATGGATGGATGGATGGATGATTGGATGGATGGATGGATGGATGGATAGATGGATGTTTGGATGCATTGATGAGTGGATGGATAGATGGATGGATAGGTGGATGGATGATTCATCCCCTTGGAAAAATTCATGTACATCCCATAGCTGGATGGATGGATGAATAGATGGATGCATTGATGGGTGGATGAAAAGATGGATGGATTGATGGATGATTGGATGGATGGATGGATGGATGGATGGATGATAAGATGGATGAAAAGATGGATGGATTGATGGATGATTGGATGGATGGATGGGTGGATGGATGATTCATCCCCTTGGAAAAATTCATGTACATCCCATAGCTCAAACAAAAAGTCATAAATAATATTGGCCCCTTTTCTATATATATATATATATATATATATATATATATATATATAAATATATATAATAGAGGCAAAGCCCACTTCTCTTAAACTGTTTATGGTTTTAACTCATAATTCTTTCCTGAGTGCCTCCTTGTGGCAACACGACACTGGGCAAATTTCTAACCATGCTTTGGATGCATCCATCTAATAAATACAGATGATTATGTCTGAATTATTGCACTATAAATCAAAATAACTAGTGGCAGTATTCTAACACAAAGGCTGCCGTCTATTTCAAAAAACAAACTTCTCTTGAGCTGCAGTTATTTTAGTCTGAATGGGCCTTGAGCTACAGTAGTAGTAGCTGCAGCAGTCGTACACAAGTAGAGTTTCATCTGCATCTTATAAGCCTTCCAAACCACAGAAGCCCAACCAGACATGAACCAGACTAAACTGTACCAGAAGCTTGTTTTCTAACTTCACCCACTTTAAATCAATAAAATCAGCATCAGGCCTGGCACCCTCCTCTAGTCTATTCACTGTCAAAAATCTCAGACTCCGTAGATCTTTTAAAAAGGGATAATACAATTAGTTAAAGCCTCACAATGTTGTCCTGACGGAAAGTGAGTCATGTCTCAACATGGTTGAACCCCTGCTTACTGGAAAAGTGATCGCACAGTGTGGGTTCAAGGAGGATGACTGAGAGAAGCTGTCAAAGCTGACCGCAGGTTGACATTGTTACAAGACATTACAGGAACTGGAGGGAATTAAAACTTAAAAGCGGACCGAAGAGAAGCTAGTCTGCACAGCATGGCTGCTTCCACAGTCTCTTATCGTGCCAAAGATCAATATTAGAAGTAATAAATCTGGTTTCTGGCATTGAATTCTTCTTACTTCTTTGACTTCACATTTTGGTCTGTTATTATCAAAATTTAAATACAAAAGCGTGTGTGTCAAATAAAAAAATATTCATTTGATAGTTCTTGTATAGTTAAGTAATTCAGCTGAAGTTACAGAGTGACGTACTGCAGTTTAACAATACAATCCTTTCAAAAGCAGGCATTATCAAAATAAGCTATTAGATATAATCAAAGTATTATCCCCATAATGTGAGTGTTTTCAGGAGGGATCCTCCATTAGAACAGGAAGCTGGCTCATATATCATCAGACCCAATTATGTTGTGATGAAAAATGTAATCACTGCCCGGATGGTTCGGAAATGAATGATCGAGCTGCTAAATTGGTAATACAGGAAGGTAGATGGATGGACAGTGAGCATACAAAGAAGTAGAAGTTTTACACCAATGTCCAGAGTTTACATCCTAGGACATGATTTTTTCTTATGCAGTAAAAACACTAAAATACTACAGAAATCCCAAAGATCTGTCTTTTTGGTCTCTCTGGCACCACCTTTGGCACGAGGGAGTAACTGCAGGTGTGATTTTGAACAATATTCTAGCAGAGCTTGAAACAGTATTCTCGTCAACAGCCTCCAGATTAATTTCACACCTCTTTCATTTTCTCTGGATTAAGATATCATCTTATTTCTTTGTAGGACAAACCACTGACGGCAGACCAGAAGTTTGTGATACCAAAGACAATTGCAAATGTAATGTTTTATCAGTAAGTCACAGACTAAGTTTCAATGGTGTTAGCTCATTTGGCAAAAGAAGGTAACTCAACATACGGTTTTTTGAACAAAAATCATGAAAAATGTGCATATTAGAAGAGACTGTGTTTAAATGTTTCTACACATGTTTATATCTCAAGTCAGTGCAGACATTTTCTGTGTAAAACAAACACATTTAAAGAAATACTGCAAAAAAACGAAACAAAGTTTGATTTCCCTGTTGTTAATATGAGTAGATATAGTGCAGCAAGATCAAAAATTATTGCAGAAGAAGCACGATGTTTTACATTTTTTTCAATAGAGAATACGTCATCCAAATGAGATGTAGTGCTGTGGCAAATCAGCTGTGCAAGGTGTCACTGTGCAAGGTGGCCATTAGAGTTTATCTCAGTTAAGCTCCCTTTAAACCAAATGTGGAACACTGAGCCTTCCTATTTTTTGATTCAGTTGACAGTTTGGGAGTTTTAAGCCCCTAAAATGTTCAAACCGATCCTTTCCCCATAGGAAAGGCCATCTCCCTGTTATCACCCTCCTCACTGCACCACCAGGACTGTGAACAGAATAAGCAGCTTGGAAAGCAAATAAAAGTGTGATACCAGAACGATGTCAGTACATTACGATTATTTCCAGTATATGATAGGAAAATACAAGTTTTGCTACTGTTACTGTCAAAAAAGAAGTGGATATCTCCCATGCATCCTTTCAATTATTGTCAGATAAACAAAGGGAAAACGTTTTTCCTTATTGACAAAATTCTCCTACTTCTTATGCAAAATAACCCCTTTTAAACCCCGGTGTGGAAACTCAAAAATCATTCTCATGAAGCTAAATACATGGCTGGATCTGACCTGGTTTTGACAGTAGAGCAATATACACACACACACACACACACACACAAAGAAATACTAACATACAGGAATGACACGACTGACGTCGGTGCAGTCTTAATGGTAAGGTGATTCACAGAGAAATTTCTGAGATGACAAAAACAGCCATTCTAATTTCTCTAATGAGAATTAAATGGAGCAAAACACAACAATCATTTTCCATTTTCTGCTGTGTATCACACTAACATGTTCAAGAAAGCAATTTCTCTCTGCCAAAGGAGCATTTAGCGACACAAAAGACGAACGTGACACACGCAGACTCATTGCTTTATGACTAATGTGTTAATTGCTTCAAACAAACTATCTAGCAGAAACCAATTTAAATGTGACATTAGTGCACAACGACACTCAACTCAGCAGCTCTGATCAAGAAGCATATATTTTAAAGTGAACCATCAGAGAAAGTCACCTAGCAGCCTTAATGAGTCTCACTTGTAAACAGTCTGGAGGCTTTGCTGCATTTCAATGTGAAGAAACAAAGCGTTACATGCAAGAATCCACATATGCATTTATGTGTTTTTCATCTGTGTGTATGTACAGATGTTTGGGTGTGTGTGTGTGTGTGTGTGTGTGTGTGTGCACCACAGAGGCCTCTCCGTGGGCTAAAGCCATTACGAGCTGTTTACACAAACACCCTGACCAAAGACACTTCCTGCTGCCAAACTGGCCGTGAAATTTACCGACTCGACAGCCGAGAACATTAAGAGCTTTTCAAAAGGAAACAGGCTGCAGATTCTCGCCGGAGCAGAACCCAAAATTGCTGCCACATTGCGGCTTTAGACCCTCAGCTGGTCTCACTGCGGTGCTGGGAGTGCGACCGCATCTCTGCCTACTCTCTTTGGTGAAAACAAAGACGTACGTATGAGAGGTTGAAAGGAGCGCTGGTGAAAGTTATTAATGACTTTATTATAGATTTTTTAAGAGTTAAAGCCCTGATACACATTTGATTTCATGTCATGTAGTTCTCTATCAGGCACAAGCTCATCAAAAGACTACATGGAGAAACTTATGGTCTTTGTAGCTCACTTACAGTGTACACAGCTTTGCTGCATTAATCTTCATCGGATAAAAATGAACCTCACATGCTTGAGTGCATTATGCACCACAACACTGCAATTAGTCTTCCTTATATTTTAAATAATGCTGCAATCTTTGATGTGATAGCTAAAACAAAATGTATTTTCTGGATCATGAGAACACTTAAACGTTCACTATGTAGAATTTTAAATTCTAAATATCTAAATTCATTAAACATGGACTACACCTGTGGATATTTTTTGTTGAATACTTTCATCACCTCAAAAGATTTCCAACCGTTATCAAAGCCAGAGACATTCTTAATTTTAGGGTTGTAACATGTCCTGTCTGTCATGGCGGCTCAGTCATGACCACCACCATGACAGACATGACATGTTTACTGTTGCCGTGGAAACTTCACTGTTGTTACATCAAAGACTGCTATATAAGGAAGTGGGAAC